TCCCCTCCATGGACACAGGTGTATACAATCATCCCCTAGGCACGCAGACGGCTTCTACAAACATTGGTGAAAGAATGGGTTGCTCTCAGGAGCTCAGTGACTCCAAGCGTGGTCCCGTGATAGGTGGCCACCTGGGCAATAAGTCCATCCGTGACATTTCCTGGCTACTAAATATTCCACGCTCAACTGTTAGTGGGATTATAACAAAGTGGAAGCAACTGGGAACAACAGCCACTCATCCACCAAGTGGTAGGCCACGTCACATGACAGGGCGGGGTCAGCGCATGCTGAAGCGCACAGTGCGCAGAAGTCACCAACTGTCTGCAGAGTCAATAGCTAAAGACCTCCAAACTTGGTGTGGCCGTCATATGAGCCCAACAACAGTGCGTAGAGAGCTGTGGTGTAAAGCACGCCACCACTGGACTCTAGAGCAGTGTAGGTGTGTTATCTGGAGGGACCAATCACGCTTCTCTGTCTGGCAATCCGATAGACGTGTCTGGGTTTGGCAGTTGCCAAAAGAACGGTACTTGCCTGACTGCATTGTGCCAAGTGTAAAGTTTGGTGGAGGGGGATTATGGTTGTGGGGATGTTCTTCAGGGGTTGGGCTTGGCCCCCTAGTTCCAGTGAAGGGAACTCTTAAGGCGACATTTTGGGACAATTTCCTGCTCCCAACTTTGTAGGAAGAGGGGGGATGGCCCCTTCCTGTTCCAACATGACTGCCCCCCAGTGCACAAAGCAAGGTCCATAAAGACATGGAGGAGCCAGTTTGGGGTGGAGGAACTTGACTGTCCTGCACAGAGTCCTGACCTCAACCCCATAGAACACCTGAAAAGAAGAGGATTGGGGTTTCTCTCTACAAAACCATCACAGAGCAATGGAAATTGACAGGTTTGTTATTTAAAAAAAAAAAATTGCCTTTAATGCCCGGTGATACCGGTGCGATCTCAGGTGAGAATCGCGAATTAAAGTCACACCTGAATTTGCATCTAATGAATGTGAATGTCAGCATCTTAATGTGCGCGGTTTGCTGCAGTGCGATTTCTAAGTAGTTCTTGGCATGACTTCGGCAGATTTTGTTACGATTTCACATCCATAGAATAGAATGGGGAATCGCAGAGCAAATCACAAAGAAATCGTGAGAATCTTCACAAGTCGTAATAAAGTCTTCAGAAGTCGCACCTGAAATTGCACACAAATCACGCGATTATATTTATTTATTTATTTTATCGAGTTTACTATAGGTCCAAAGGGGAAGCTCAGCGCTGTACAATAGAGGGGGGACAATACATGAAAATTGCAAACAGACAAGAGGGGTAGAGGGCCCTACTCTTTCGGCTTTACAATCTAGGAGGGAGCGGGTAGAGGTACAGGGGGAGGAAAACGGCTGTGGGGGATGGAGTGGTAGGAGGAGGAAGGGCCGCGGACCCTGTTAGGTGAGGGGTTGGGGTAGGCTTCCCCGCAGATAAGGGGTGGGTTTTCAGGGAGCGCTGACTGAATGTGAGGAGGGAAGGAGGACAGTCTGATGGGGATTGGGGGGTAGTGTCCAGGAGGATGGGGGGGGACCTGGGAAGTTTGCACGTGCATTGGGAGGAGGAGACCAGGGAGCAAGATAGAATGTGAAGGGAGGGAAGGGTCCTGGGTGGGAGGTACATGGGAATCAGGTCGGTGAGGTAGTTAGGGGCAAGTGTTGGAATGGCACTTATTGGTCAGTGGGTGAGCAATTTGAAGAGTTTAATGCGTTGAAATGGGGAGCAGTGGAGGGAGAGCAGAGTCCCCCCTGGGGGTGGCAGAGGTTTGGAGCGGATGGTGAGGTGGATGAGTTGGCCAGAGTCAGGATGGTCTGAGTTGCGGGGAGACATGCACTGGGGTAGGCCGGTGAGAGAGGGAGTTGTAGTCAGGGTGAGATAAATCAGGGAGGTGACTAGTAGTTTAGTGGTGTCTGGGGTAAGGAAGGAGCGTATCTGGAGATGTTCCGGAGGTGGAGCCTGCATGTGTTTGTGAGAGATTTGATATGAGGTTGAAAGGAAAGGTTTGAGTCCAGAAATGACGCCAAGGACCTTGGCTTGCTGGGCGGGATTGATGGTGGTGTTGTTGGTAGGTAGTGATGGAAAGGATGGGGGGGGGGGGCGCGGGCTGGGGGGAAGAACGAGAAGCTCGGGTTTTGGAGGGTTGAGTTTGAGGAAATGGAGCGACATCCAGTCAGAGATGTCGTTTAGGAGGTGAGTGATGCGGGCGGAGAATGTGGGGGTGAGGTGAGGGGTGGAGAGGTAGGATTTGAGTATCTCAGCATAGGTGGTAATTTGCCGTGGGAGTGTATGAGTTTGCCAAGGGAGGAGGTTAGATGGAGAAGAGAAGGTTCCATGGCCCAGAGCCCTGGGGGACCCAACAGAGAGGGGGAGTGAGGAGGAGGTGGCACCGTTGTAGGAAACGCTGAAGGAGCGTTGGATAAGATAGGACGAGAACCAGGAGAGAGCGGTGTCTCTGATGCCAAGGGAGAGTAGTTTATTAGGAGGAGGGGGTGGTCGACTGTGTCAAAGGCCGCGTAGAGGTCCAGAGTAGTCGCCTTTGGCTTTGGCGGTTAGTAGATCGTTGGTGATTTGAGGAGAGGCAGTACCGTTATAAACCCCGGTGACTTAATATCACTTTAAGCTGCAGTTGTCAAGGTATTTAGTTGTTCTTGGACCTCCAACAACATAAGTGCCTGGTCATACCGGTGCAAATTCAGGTGCAATTTGTGACTTGAAATTGCACCTGAAAACACTTTCTCACCAGAAGTCAGCAGCTGAATAATCCGGGGCCCTCGATTTTGGACCCCGAATCCCAGGTTTTGCAATCCCGTCGCTCCGATATGTCATTTGTGATGTGTTCTCCGTAGAGTCTTCCGGTTGCTAATTTTTCCATGTTTTTTTTTTTTTCTCTTTGAAGGAATCTCTGCTACTTTGCAAACGAAGAGTAGCCCGTCGGCCGTCATCTTGGACCTGTGGGAAGCGCGGCACCCCTACGACGGAAGCTTGGATTCTCTGGCCTGTGCACTGGAGGAAATAGGGAGGACACAAAGCAAACTGTCTCTGGTCACAGAAAGTCATGCAGAGGACGCAGACTTCACCTACAGCCGGCAGAACGGACTTTGAGAAGACGCGTTGGTTCGCAGAGATGCGAATGTAGGGCTTCTCTGGGCACCATCCATGCAAAAAACGTTCTTTGAAGGAACCTTCATTGTGCAAAAAGGGTTTTAAAAAAAAAAAAAAGCCATCCACCAGCGAGGGAATTTGGAGGCGTGGACTTTTCAAGCCTCCCCGTTCTCTGTGGTCTATAAAGGACTTACCTTTACAAGAATGCGCTCTTTGAGTATTGAAATCAGTAGGTTGTTGTTTTTCGAGGTCAGGGAGAGGAACGGAGAAGAATGATCGCATCAAACGGACACTGATACACTGTATATCGATGCTAAGTAGCACCCTTCTGTATACAGCTACCCCAAGCTGCTTTGCCTTAGAGAGAATAGAATGCAATAGCCAACTCAAACGATGATTCTTGGCATGTAGATTTTGTGTGATGTCTCCGCAGGACTGAATCCCCCCCATTGTACAATGCGACTGGTAATGGTGTTGGAGTGTTACTAGTTGCCAGCATCCGTTGCTGTTGGCCAGAGTCAGTGTTGCCCAGGTCCGTATTCAGAAGCATTGTTTCAGTTTGTAAATGTGTTGTGCGGTGTATTCGGCTGTCGGTAGAACGAGAATCTCGAAGAAAACCAAAACCAGAGAGAGTTTTGCCCCCACATTTCTCATAACGCAGTCATCCATTGTGTCGCCCGAGCCCTTGGCGTGGATAAGATGCAACCTATCGAAGATATGTAAAACTGGAGGGAAGGAAACGGGGGGGGAGGGCAGTTTCAGTTATTTTGATTTTAGTACAGGTTTAAAAAAAAAATTGATTGGTTTCTTGGTTGCCGGCACCAGGTTTCTTTTTTTATTTTCTCATGTTTTTATATGTGAGCAGGGCTTTTTTTTTTCAGAGGACAAGTGCAGGAACCCCCCCCCCCCCCTCCTTCTGAGTCACCCCTTGTCTCCTCCCCTTACCCACCTCCAAGCACTGTCATTTGGTTCCACCTCCTACCCACCTCTGAGCAACATCTGTTGTTTCCACCTTCTGCCCACCTCCAAGCACTGTCATTTGGTTCCACCTCCTACCCACCTCCAAGCACTGTCATTTGGTTCCACCTCCTACCCACCTCCGAGCAACGTCCCTTGTTTCCACCCCCTACCCACCTCCATGCACTGTCATTTGGTTCCACCTCCTACCCACCTCTGACCAACGTCCCTTGTTTCCACCCCTACCCACCTCCATGCACTGTAATTTGGTTCCACCTCCTACCCACCTCCGAGCAACGTCCCTTGTTTCCACCCCCTGCCCACCTCCAAGCACTGTCATTTGGTTCCACTCCCTACCCACCTCCAAGCTACATCCCTTGGTTCCACCCCCTATCCACCTCCAAGCTACATCCCTTGGTTCCACCCCCTACTCACCTCCAAGCAATGTCCCTTGGTTCCACCCCCTACCCACCTCTGAGCACTGTCAATAGGTTCCACCTCTTACCCTCCTCTAAGCTACGTCCCTTGGGTTCCACCCCCTACCCACCTCTGAGCTACGTCCCTTGGGTTCCACCCCCCACCCACCTCTGAGCTACGTCCCTTTGTTCCACCCCCTACCCACCTCTGAGCACTCAATAGGTTCCACCCCCTACCCTCCTCTGAGCAACGTCCCTTGGTTCCACCCCCTACTCCAAGCACTGTCCTTTGGTTCCAACCCGTACCCGTCTCCGAGCACCGTCCCTTGATTCCATCCCCTACCCACCTCCGAGCACTGTCCCTTGGTTCCACCTCTGAGCACCCTCCCTTGGTTCCAACCTCTACCCACCTCCGAGCACCGTCCTTTGATTCCAACTCCCACCCACCTCCAAGCACTGTCCCTTGGTTCCAATCCCTACCCACCTCCGAGCACCGTCCCTTGGTTCCAACCCCTACCCACCTCTGAGCACCGTCCCTTGGTTCCATCCCCTACCCACCTCCAAGCGCGTCCCTTGGTTCCACCTCCTACCCACCTTCGAGCACTGTCCCTTGGTTCCATCTCCTACCAACCTCCGAGCTTGTCCCTTGGTTCCATCTCCTACCCACCTCTGAGCACTGTCCCTTGGTTCCACCTCCTACCCACCTCCGAGCACTGTCCCTTGGTTCCAACCCCTACCCACCTCCAAGTGCGTCCCTTGGCTCCACCTCTTACCCACCTCCGAGCATTGTCCCTTGGTTCCACCTCCTACCCACCTGCGAGCACTGTCCCTTGGTTCCACCTCCTACCCACCTCCGAGCACTGTCCCTTGGTTCCATCTCCTACCCACCTCCGAGCGCCTCCCTTGGTTCCATCTCCTACCCACCTCTGAGCTACGTCCCTTGGGTTCCACCCCTTACCCACCTCCGAGCACTGTCATTTTTTTCCACCCCCAAGCAACATCCCTTGGTTCTACCCTTTTACCCACCTCCAAGCAACGTCTCTTGGTTCCACTCCTACCCACCTCCAAGCACTGTCATTTTTTTCCCACCCCGTATCCACCTCCAAGCAATGTCCCCCAACAATGGACCCCCGCAACAAAATCCCACCCCAGCAACAATAAACCCCAAGCAGCAACAACAGATCTCTCTACTACATCCAGCAACAATAGACCCTCCCTCAAAATGAGGTCTCTTCCGGCAACAACTGTCCTCCCAGCAACAAAAGAACCCTCTCCACCATACAAAAACAAATGCCCACCAGTGACAATAGATCTCCCCAGCAGCCAGCATCAATAGTCTCTCCAGCACACCCCAGCACCCTCCACCATTACATACATTCAGTGCTGGAGGGGCCGGAACTGTGTTCCCCCCCACGTCCCCCCACGTTCCCGCTGGAATAAGCCCTGCCTGTGAGACCTATTGAGCTGGCTTATCGAACTTTTTTTGTTTTTCTCGGCAACCAATGAAATGCTTGCTCTCATTTTCCTGTGTTGCATCATTGGCCTCATTTGTTATAACCAAAAACTGTCCTACACCGCCCCACAGGCAACAATCGAACTCAAACCGACACTAGAAATTGAAAGTTGAAGGCCGGGGCCATTAGGCAACATATAAAACATCTTGCTTAAAGTGGCTTTAAACCTCTGAAATGAAAAATGAACAAAGCATATCCCTCTATGGTGTGCCTCTGAGGCTGAGTGTGCATCCTATCTGCTTCCTCCTCCCTCTGCTATCTGCATGGGGCACGTTTGATAGGTTATGCTGACACAGAATCCTGGGGGGTGGCCCCATTCCCCTTTCAGCACACAGCAGACGACTGACAGCCTAAGCTGTGCCTGCTTCCTTGTGCCTGTGTAGAGGGGGGGTGTCCATTCCCTCCACTCAGGTCTCGGATTACACTCAGCTCTCTGCTCTATGCTGTGCAGTGTGCAACATCAGATCCCCAACCCTCTACCTGCTGGACCTGAGAAGTTACCTTTGAGTTGTGTGTTTTAGGTGGCTGTAAAAGAGAGAGAGAGATGCAAATAAACAGGAACAATTGTGCATGCTTCCTTAAAAAATTCCATAGGGAGAGGGTGTTTCTTTCCTTTCACTCAGGTCTCAGATTACACTCAGCTTTCTGCTCCATGCTGTGCAGTATGTGACATAAGATCCTCGCCCCCTGCTGGATGGAGCTGAGAAAAATTATTTGAGTTGTGTGTTTTAGGAGGCTGTAGAGGAGAGAGGGCTACAAACAAACAGGTGCAATTGTGCATGCTTCTTTATAATGTTGTGTAGAGGAGGGGTGTTCTTTCCTTCCACTCAGGCCACAGATTACACTCAGCTCTCTGCTCTATGCTGTGCAATAGGTGACATCAAATACCCACCCCCTGCCTTCTGGAGCTGAGAAATCTGTTTCAAATTGTGTACTTTGAATAGCTGTAGAGGAGAGAGGGCTGCAGATAAACAGGCACAACTTATGTAGAAGGATTTGTTTCATCTCTGTGTATCACCCAAGGCCAGTCACTTCACTGGATGTATGGAGGGTTTACCACCACTTTAAGATAATATATGTAGCAACGGGGCAAGAGAGGGGGGAATCTGATTGGCTGGAACAGTTCAGGTTTAGATACGTTGATAATGCGTTATCATTTTTGCAGCGAATAGATTCTAATTAATTGATTGGCTACCTACTCATCACATAAAAGGGTTCAGTTTTTTTGGACAGGTGTCGGGAGCATTTTACTTTTCCCAAAAAAATTGCCGAGGCCGTCCTCCCAAAGCGTCCTCATTATATGTAGGCAGTATTCTTTCTGAACTCTTCATGCACCTCTAAGGATCTCCATGTGTAAGAACCAATGTACTCATTCATCTCCATATCCCGTATCCATCACAACCCAGGGAGCAGGAGGAGGAAAAACGTACTTTATGCTCCGAGTATTTCAGAAGCAATTTATTTTCTGCCCATTGACGTTATGCTCGGAGTCATTCACCACGTATGTGTTCATTGGATCCTCCAAACAGATATCTGCCAGCGTGACCTTCAAGAGAGCAAATTCAGAGGTCACATCAACATGGTCTCCAGCCAGGAAGCCAGATGGTGCTGAAATATTTAGTGCAAGCAGATCATGTGTTGGTGAGAGTTACCCAGACAGGAATAAAGGTTCGGCTGACTGGCTTCCAACAATATTTTATCTGTAATCATCCATCAATATCGTCCATTAATATCATCCATCAATATCATCCATCAATATCATCCCATCCATCAATATCATCCATCAATATCATCCATTAATATCATCCATTAATATCATCCATCAATATCATCCATCAATATCGTCCATCAATATCACCCATTAATATCATCCATCAATATCATCCATCAATATCATCCATCAATATCATCCATTAATATCATCCATCAATATCATCCATCAATATCATCCATCAATATCACCCATTAATATCATCCATCAATATCATCCATCAATATCATCCATTAATATCATCCATCAATATCATCCATTAATATCATCCATTAATATCATCCATCAATATCATCCATCAATATCATCCCATCAATATCATCCATTAATATCATCCATCAATATCATCCATCAATATCATCCATCAATATCACCCATTAATATCATCCATCAATATCATCCATCAATATCATCCATTAATATCATCCATCAATATCGTCCATCAATATCGTCCATCAATATCATCCATCAATATCATCCATCAATATCATCCATTAATATCATCCATCAATATCATCCATCAATATCATCCATCAATATATCATCCATCAATATCATCCATCAATATCATCCATTAATATCATCCATCAATATCATCCATCAATATCATCCATCAATATCATCCATCAATATCATCCATTAATATCGTCCATCAATATCATCCATCAATATTGTCCATCAATATCATCCATTAATATCGTCCATCAATATCGTCCATTAATATCGTCCATCAATATCGTCCATCAATTTCATCCATTAATATCGTCCATCAATATCATCCATCAATATTATCCATCAATTTCATCCATTAATATCGTCCATTAATATCGCCATTAATATCGTCCATCAATATCGTCCATCAATATCGTCCATCAATATCATCCATCAATTTCATCCATCAATATCATCCATCAATTTCATCCATTAATATCGTCCATTAATATCGCCATTAATATCGTCCATCAATATCGTCCATCAATATCGTCCATCAATATCATCCATCAATTTCATCCATCAATATCATCCATCAATTTCATCCATTAATATCGTCCATCAATATCGTCCATCAATATCATCCATCAATTTCATCCATCAATATCATCCATCAATTTCATCCATCAATATCGTCCATCAATATCGTCCATCAATATTATCCATCAATTTCATCCATCAATATCATCCATCAATTTCATCCATCAATATCATTGATCAATATCATCCATCAATATCATCCATCAATATCATCCATCAATTTCATCCATCAATATCATCCATCAATTTCATCCATCAATATCGTCCATCAATATCGTCCATCAATATTATCCATCAATTTCATCCATCAATATCATCCATCAATTTCATCCATCAATATCATTGATCAATATCGTCCATCAATATCGTCCATCAATATCATCCATTAATATCGTCCATCAATATCATCCATCAATATCATCCATCAATATCATCCATTAATAGTGGACTCCCTGGTGAGGCTTTCTGTCCTGGCATCATATTATGGGTCGTATTGTCATCACTTTCCATAGATTTGGGTTGTGGTGTTTATTATGACTAGAAGGAAGTCAATGTGAACTGCTGTGGATGGACGCCGAGGTCTCCCCAGTTCTCTTGCTGCAGATCACAATTCTATGATTCATAACTTACACATAGTGGCCATCATGTTTTGTGGTCCAGAACGTATGGCTATACACTGACCGGCCACTTGATTAGGGTCCCCCTGTTCAATGGCTCGGTAACACAGATTGCTAATCAGCCAATCACATGGCAGCAACGCAATGCATTTTAGGCATCTAGATGTGGTGAGGATGACTTCCTGAAGGTCAAACTGGGGAAGAGCGTGACTTTGAACGTGGCATGGTTGTTGGTGCCAGACGGGCTGGTCTGAGGATTGCAGAAACTGCTGATGTACTGGGATTTTCACGCACAACCATGTCTGGTGATTACAGGGAATGGTCGAAAAAAGAGAAAATATCCAGCGAGTGGCAGTTGTGTGGAGGAATAATAAAATATAAAAGTGAGCGCTGTCCAATCAGCAGCTAAGCACTCAAGGTAACCAACATAAACCTTACAAATAGAATAAATAAAACAGTGCAGCGCTAAAATTATGAATAAAAGACAGTATTGAACGACAAATTAATATTAAAAGTTCGATATAGATGACAGTCTATGTGACTATAAAGTGCCAGGTGACTGGTTTAAAAGTCGATGGTGGTGCTTCGTGAAAAATGGCAGAATTACGCACTCACCAGATGCGTAATAATTATACGCATCCAGAGGTTTCCTCATCAGGTATAGGTCTGGTCAGAGCTTAGGTGATCCTCCCTCAGGGTAGTAGTCAGCAAATGCCCGGTAACAGATTACTCGGATCCAGGTAACCGGAGGTCCCTTTAAGGGATGGGTAGAAGAGGCTGCCTTCTTACAGGATAACTTCCTTCTCTGGGTAAGGCAACTGGATCTCACAAACGGGCTCGTTGGTCCCACAGGAGCTGAGAGGTGGAGAATGCAGCGCAGTTGTGTGGAGGAAAACGCCTTGTTGAGGTCAGAGGTCAGAGGAGAATGGGCAGACTGGTTGGAGATGATAGAAAGGCAACAGGAACTCCAATAACCCCTCGTTACACCCAAGGTATGCAGAATACCATCTCTGAATGCAGAACACGTCCAACCTTGA